AACGAACAAATACAGTCTCGATGCATTTAATTCAAGAACGAACGTTACGTTCGCGCCACATGCATACACGTACGCGTAACTCGATGTACAATTCGAGACACTGGGCAGGGCACGTGAATACTAAATTGCTTTCTCAGCGAACGGACAACGGTACCCTTTTTATTGTTCCACTGCATTCCCTCGATATCTTGGGTACAATGATCCTTGCTCGAAAGGTTCCGCGTGCACGCGGTATTACGTCGTTCGACCATGAACAAGTATGTACACGATCTTTTAAGAAATCTCTCACGACGATCTAGCAATTTTTAAATTGGATCTTAGAGTTTCTGAAAGTTAATGGAGATTTGTAAATAATTTTTTGAATTAAAATTGATTCGATATTTAATTTTATTATATAAGAGAGATAATAAAAAAATGTACAATTTAATTTTTTATCACAATCAACTTCTAGCTATTATGTTTATATGCTATATAAATTGTAAGTTCATGCAAAGTATCAATATATTTAGTTGTGAGATATTTTTGAAGAATCAAGTTTAGAGATTAAAAGAAATATAAAAAATGGCATATAAAAGTGCAAAAAAAAAATTCGGTTGAGTTGTATTTATTAAATATTCAAATGAAGTGAAATAGATATAAAGGGATAATAAATAGAATGATAATAAAGTTATATCTATTATATCTTTGTAAAGTAAATATTTCTATTCTCAACAGATTTTTTATTTCATTTTGTCTGAGCTTCTCCTAAGCTAATTCCTTATAAAATAAATAAATTATAAATAATAAAATAATACCGATATTTTGTTATACCAAAATTTGTTTTTAATCTCTAGAATCAATCCTTTAAAAATATCAATTATATTAACATTCTATACAAATTAAATTTTGTAATCTTCATTATTAATGATACATAAGAAATAGAAGATTTAAGAATTATTAATTTAGATCTTGATGGCTCTATTTTCTTCAATCGATCATAACCAAGATAATTAACAAGAAACGACATTTTCAGAGGCATATATTTTTTCTTTTTTTTTAAGGCATTTTCACCGAGCAACAAGTATGTGGTATCGGTGGGTTCTCAACATGATATGATCGTCAATGTCTGGGACTGGAGGAACAATGTTAAAGTGGCGTCAAACAAAGTCTCGAGCAAAGTGAAGGCCGTATGCTTCGCGGAAAACGGCAATTACTTTGTTACCGTCGGTAACAGACATGTCAAGTTTTGGTATCTCGAGTATTCGCGCAGTGCCAAGGTACGTGTAAAACTAATTCAATCTCTTTATCTCTTGTAATCTGTTCGAGTAAAATTCACTCGTCGATTATTGTACTATTCTCTATGTACTAAAAATTGTGATCATCGATTATCGATATATCATCGATATTTTATTAATAATTTTCGATATATCGGTAACATAATTTAGATATCATTAACGGATAGAATTTCTTTTTTTTTTTATTTAAATTATCGATGTATTATCAATACCAAAATTTTTACAAATTTCAACCGATGCTCAATTTTGTAAAAAAAATATATATAGAGAACAGAACGAAACAAATTTTTTACGGTTTTATTATACTATTATTTAAAAAATTATTATTTTTATTGATTTTATAAATTTCACTAATTTAATTTAATAATTTCAGTAATTTAATTTTTGATTTTAGTAAATTATTTCTATAATTTGTTTTTATTATTTTTATTTCTATTTCTTACGAATAATTTATGTTTAGGTTTGGAATATAAAAAATTTCATGCTTTATAATTAATGTTGAAATTTAAAATTAAATTTTTGTATTCAATATTAATTATATTTTGTAATATTACTTATAAAGAAAGTTTTAGATAATATGAAATAATGCAATAAGACATAACATTCGAGATAATTAATAAACTCATTCACTTTTTATAATTTGGATCAGTTTATTCGAATAGTCACTTTTTTGAATGAATTAAAAAACACATGTTTTTTAAAAACATGAGTTTATAAAAAAAATAAAAATTTCAAAATTCTTGATTCGTGATACCTTAAAATTTAATATTAAAAAATCTATTTTTCCAACATTAAACCTAGAAGATTAAATGCAAATTTACTATTAAAAAATAAATGTACAATTTTAATTTCTTCGTTCTACTCTATTAGCGAAATTTGGACAGGATAAGTATAACACGAAAAAAGTGATAATGGGAATTTTGTGCAGTATAAGGAACCTGTGCCTTTGATGGGTCGGTCTGCCATATTAGGAGAGCAAAGAAATAATGATTTTGTGGACGTAGCCTGCGGTCGAGGAGAAATGGCAGATTCCACATATGCGATTACGAAAACTGGCCTTCTATGCGAATTCAATAACAGGAGGCTTTTGGATAAATGGGTAGAACTTCGTGTAAGTATCTTTGTCTCTAATGCCCTCTACCTGAAATTCTGTATTTAAACTTATTACATAAATGACTATATATATAAAACTAACCTCAATGTATCACCATAGAATTTATTTCAATGCGATTCTATATGAAAATAGAACTCGTTACGCCACGTTAACTTATCTCTATGAGTCGTTATTACTTTTATGTAGGACATGTTAATAGATATGCTAGTTTCACTGTTTCACTATCAAATGGATAGCTAATTATCCAGAAAAAAATGTACTTCACCGATTTCAATGACCTTCATATTGTTAAGCTCAATATTCTGAATAATTTTTCCTTATATTCTTATATGTATATACATATACAATGTGATTCAGAAATACATGTTATTACTTTGGAGATGAATCTATATTAAAATATGAAAATATGCCATATAATAGTTGTAGCCTAATTTTATGAAAGAATTATTGTCTATAAAAATATTCAAAAACTATATCTTTTATATTTTATATAATTTGTGTTAATAAATATAAACATATTCCATTCATTATTTATTATTTTATACATATATATATATAATTTATAATAATGTTAATTTTATACATATATATATAATTTATAATAATGTTAATTTATTATTGTGATTTATAATTGGTAAGTTTATAAGCCTTTAATTGGGATATTTAATTGGAATATTTAATTAAAATGTTTAAAATTCGGTTTATATTCACTAATTATATTTGTTATTAATCGTTTTAATTAATATTGTTGGAAATATTGAATGCATTCGTTTATTAAGAAAACATGACTACGACAAATATTCAATTTTTTCAATAAATAAGTATTAAATATCGACTGAAATTGAAATTCTCTCGCCTTTTTTTAGTCTTCTCTTAAAGCTATATTAATTAAAATAATTAATAAAGCTATATTAATTAAATATAATTACGGCTCGTAAAGTAATAATTTGGTCATTGTTATTATATGAATATTAAAGGACAAAATGCTAAATGGACACAAGCAATAGAAAATAAAATTATGCCATAATTTAATAATAATAAAATAATATTATTTTAAATATAAATTACTTTATATAAATTATTTCAAGATACCAAATTTATAAAATCTAATTATTCGAAAAAAAAATTTTCTGTCAAAATTATATTTCAAGATATTTAAAATTGAAATTGTTTTTTATTTCTAAAAATTTTGATAAAATTTTCATTTTTGATTCTGTACATTTTTTAATTATTAATAAATTATCCAATATAATAATCATTTGATATTATTATTATTAATTAGTTAATTAATTAAATAGCATATATTTAAATTCTTATTTTTTATAATATACTATTATATATACTATACTATACTATATTATACTACTATATTCTATTTTGTATAATTATTCGAATATTGTTATATAATAATTCGTTTCAAGCAACTGGCTATTTTCAGACGAGCAGTGCCAATTGCATGGCCGTTGGAGATAAATACATTTTCATCGGTTGTGCAGAGGGAATTGTGAGGTGCTTTAGTCCTAATACGCTTCAGTTCATCACTACCTTACCGAGAACACATTACCTGGGCGTGGACGTTGCTCAGGGATTGTCCATTAGGTATATGGACAATTTTTAACATTTTTTTGATTACTTATTACCAAAATTAATATAATAAAATAAATATAAATTTATTTCTTCAAATCATACTTAATATTACTAATATTTTATATTATTTATATTTTATTAAAAATCATATAATTACAATATTTTAAAATGAGCATTTCATTGAAATATAAGAAAATAGTAGTATTTCATAATGCTTCGATTAAATAATTATTTAACTTTAAAATTATTATAATGTATATTATATATATTATTATATATTATATTTAATTAGGCATTATTAGATAAAAAATTTATCTAATAAGATAATATTTTTTATATATACATTTTATTTATAGACTATACAAAAAGATATCGGTTAATTTATTATAATATTGTTTAATTATTATTGCATTAATTTATTTTGATAAAATTTAAAATCTAAGTATCAAATAATTATGTAAATATTAAAATTAATCTTTTAACCAGGTAAAACAAGTTAATTCGTCACTTAAACTCTCTCAATCAATCTTTTAAATGTAATAATTCTAAATTTCTTTATTTATGGATTCTCTATTTTCCTATGTGTTATAATTATTATATAATTTCTATTTTAAAAAAAAAATTATTCTATTTCTATTATATTCCATATTTATATATTTATATTAAAAAGAATTTAATTAAAATTGATTTATATTAGATTAATTTTTATATTCATAATTATTAAGAATTCTGCTTCAAGAATTATATTCTAATTAAATGAAATAATATAATACTTTCAAATATTAGTATATTTCTAATACTTTCTTCAACTTACTTTAAATTTTCCTTAGCTCTGCACAAAACTAAATTTAATTTTTTTCTAATCCATCTTATCGATTCCAGCCATATGTCTCAGCATCCAACAAATGCAAGGTATCCAGACGCCATCGCCTTAGCATTTGACGAGCGAAACAACAAGCTCACCTGTGTTTACAACGATCACAGTATCTACGTTTGGGATGTACGAGATATCAGACGAGTTGGCAAGTCGCATTCGTTCCTTTACCATTCGGCCTGCATCTGGGGAGTCGAGATGTATCCCACTGGATCGGATTCCGTGGGTGCCATGCCGGCTGGTAGTTTCATTACATGCTCCAGCGACGACACCATCCGCGTGTGGAACCTTGAGAAGGATATTTCTCCTAATGACACGCTTTACAAACGGAACATCTACAGCAACGAGCTACTCAAGGTTCTCTACATAGATCAAGAGCTAACTTATTTAAAAGATCTAGATCTGGCCGCAGCTGGATCAACAGAGAAGAGCGACGCTTCGTATGATAGTCGGAACGGTGTTAGATCAATCAGAATCAGTCCTGATGGAAAACACTTGGCATCTGGTGATAGGTCTGGTAACATTCGAATTCATGACCTCTCTTCGTTGGACGAATTGTGCTTGATCGAGGCACACGATGCGGAAGTGCTTTGCCTCGAGTACTCCAAGTTCTCCAGATACTCGACAGAACCTCCTAGATTGTTAGCCAGCGCTTCTAGAGATAGATTGATTCACGTGTTTAGTGTAGATCAAGGATACAACTTTTTACAGACGCTGGATGATCATAGTTCTTCCATTACTGCCGTCAGATTCTTCAATCAGAGCAATCAGAATAATCAGATACAGATGGTGTCCTGCGGTGCCGACAAAAGTATTATTTTTAGACAACTGCAATCGGTTAGTTTGATTATTGTATTTTTTTTTTTTTTTTTTGGATTTAATTAGAAAAATATATAATATGTAATTCCGATTTTAAAAGTATAAAAATAAATTAATATAATATATACACATATTTAATCTTGAAATAGTTTAATGTTTGTATAAATATTGTAAAATTGTTATATAGTTTATATAATATTTAATTATTATTATATAGTTTATTATTAAATTTTTTATATTTTTTTATTTTATTTATAAATTATAATAATTTTATTATTTTTTTTATAATAATATAAGTCTGTGAAATGAATATTTATATATTATAATTTGAAATTCACGAAAATTGATAAATTAATTTTTATTTTTATTTAAAACATTTATTTTAAAAGTATAAAAAATTTTTTTATAAGAATATTGCATTATTTCTCTAAATTCACTTATGAATGATTAAAAATAGAAATATCTTGCAATGCAATTATTACAGCTTATAAATCAATTTATATATTATATTAATATAATATATAAATTATATATTAATTATATTATAATTATATATTATATTAATATAATATATAAATTAATTTATATTTCATATTAAAATTTTTTAGTTTAGATAAAAATAGAATATGTTATGAAAATAAACATTCCCACAAAATGAATTTATTATAATTAGTGATATTTTATTCTATTTATTTGAATTATTTTATTTTGCTAAAGCCAAAAATTAATATTTCCATTTTATACTAACGAATTCGGTTGTTCCTAGACACCAGGAGGAATGCCTCAATTTGCCAGGGGTCACAATGCTCAGGGAAAAACTACTCTCTATGATATGGAAGTTGATTCTGGACAAAAACATGTTTTAACTGCCTGTCAGGATAGAAATATAAGGGTTTATAATGTAACTACGGGCAAGCATAGCAAAACGTTCAAGGGATCTGTCGGCGAAGATGGATCGCTTATCAAAGTCGTTCTGGGTAAGTCAAATATAATATTTCTATTTTATTAAAGAAAAAATAACAGAACTTCATTTATTATTAAATTTATTAAATAGGATATAAATTTATTAAATAGGATAAATATTTATTAAATTTATTAAAATAGGATTTTGATGAATAAAATTGATTTAATGAATTCTAATTATTTTTATTATCTAAATTATTATTAAATATTTAATTATATTAATATTACTATAATATTAATTGATATATAATATATATATATATATATTATAAATATATATTATTGATTATTAT